TACTTAGTATTAGTAAATTTTGCCCCTACTCGCTATACCGCAAGTAGGGGCATGGCTAGTAAACAGTGAGCAGCCTGTGGCTGCTCACTGCAAAAAAAAAAATTACCTATTGCCCCCCCCGGCCCCCACACCTGAGCGGCGGGTGGGGGCCCTAAAGTAAAATTATGGGGGGGGGACCTATTGTCCTCCCCCTGGGCCCCCACCCCTGAGCAGCGGGTGGGGGCCCTACAGTAAAATAAGGGGGGGGACCTAATGAGTGGTGGGTGGGGCCCTAAATACTAAAAAGGGGGGGCCTAATGTCCTCCCCCTTGGCCCCCACCTCTGAGCGGCGGGTGGGGGCCCTAAATTAGAATAAGGGGGTGGGACCTAATGTCCACCCCCCTGGCCCCTACCCCTGAGCGGTGGGTGGGGGCCCTAAATACTAATAAAAAAAACGAGCGCAAAAAAAAATAATCCATCTTCACCCGGCGAGAGCTTCGCGCAGACTGAGCTCTTGCCCCACCCTGCAATTATGCTCAGAGCACTCTGATTGGTGGGTTTAAGCCATCCAATCAGAGTGCTCTGACAGGTAAATGAAGAGACTGACAGGTAAGTCTCTACATTTACCTGTCAGCGTTCTGATTGGTTGGTTTGAAATCCACCATTCAGAGTGATCTGTGTCATTTTACACAGCCTGGGAAAGTTCTTTGGAATTTTCCCACGCTGTGTAATTTGACTCATAACTCTCTGATTGGTGGATTAAGTAACCATGGTTAATTCTTTTTTGGGGGGTGAGAGGAGGGTTATTTTTTTAGTTAGGCCCCCTACCCGCCACTCAGGGGTGGGGGCCTGGGGGGAGGACATTAGGTGTCCCCCCGCTTATTAGAATTTAGGGCCCCCACCCACAGCTTAGGGGTGGGGGCCAGGACATTAGGTCCCCCCCCTTATTATAATTTAGGGCCCCCACCGCTCAGGGGTGGGGGCCAGGGGGGAGGACATTAGGTCCCCCCCGCTTATTAGTATTTAGGGCCCCCACCTACCGCTTAGGGGTGGGCCTTTTTTTTTTTTTTTTTAACAGTGTGCAGCCACAGGCTGTTTAATAGACATGCCCCTACTCGCTGTATAGCGAGTAGGGGCATAATTTACTAATACTAAGTAATCTTTACTTAGTATTAGTAAATTTGGCTGAAAGATCCATTCAGGTCTTTCAGCCTTTTAGTAGATAGCTCCCTAATACCATGGGAATTAGGGAGTTATCTACTTATTCATTCCTGTCATTCCATTGACTGGCTAAGTAACTCACATTCTATATGAATGTGTGTTACTTGATTGTTGTAAGTGTTGCAAATGCTTACAGCTGAATCCTGGTTATGTTTGTATACTTTTTATTTAAAATGTCCTCCCCACTAGCCCCCACCCCTGAGCGGTGGGTGGGGGCCCTAAATTAGAATAAGCGAGGGGGACCTAATGTCCTCCCCCCTGAGTGGTGTGTGGGGGCCCTAAATACTATCAAGGGGTGGGACCTATTGTCCTCCCCCTGGCTCCCACCCTGGAGCGGCGGGTGGGGGCCCTAAATAAAAATGTTACCCCCCTCAGGTGACTAGGGGTCCCCAAACCACTAGTCACCCCCCTCCCAAAAAAACCCCCCTAACCCCTACCTACCCCCCTCACCCTAAAAATAATGAGGGGGGGGAGCATTAACTAAGTACCTATAAAAAAACAAAACTTACCATTTGATGTTTTCTTTCTTCTAAAATCTTCTTTATTCAGCCCCCAAAAAAGGCCAAATAAAAAATCCATAATAACCGACGCACTTAAAAAAAAAAAAAGAGCGCAAAAAAAAATAATCAATCTTCACCCATAGAGGGCTCCGCACAGACTGAGCTCTGCAGGGCGGGGCAAGGCTTATAAAGCCTTGCCCCGCCCTGCAATTAGGCTCAGAGCACTCTGATTGGTGGGTGTGGCGAAACCGACCTCGCCACTGGGCATTGGAGAAGACTGATTGCCAGCCTCCTGCCATGTGACTATAGCCCCTGGGATATATTGCCCTTTAAAGACATGATTTGGGCATAAGGGATTTGTGTTGTGCTGCTGCTGGCCCTTTAAGAACCATCTGGGGACATACTGTGGAGTTACTGGGTGGCCACCATTTCCTGTATCAGAGGCACACGGTGAGAACAATGGATGAAGGACATGGTGAGAACAATGGATGGCGGCCATTTTAACTCACAGACACTGTTTGGACTTTTCAACATGGTGCCATCTCGCCGGTATTTGGTGCACAAAGACATCGTGCAGTGGTTTTGGACTATACAACAGGGGACACCTTATACAGTAATTGTTTTTCATTTAGCCTGCATATGTTCTGTGGAATCTGCATTAAACTGTATCTTCCAAAGTACTGAACGGATCAGTAATCATATCACAGGCAGAGGGGAGGATTTTGTGTGGGAGTGTCTGAGTGTATTGTACAGATTGATTGGTTGTTCTGTAAAACCCTGTGGGCAGTACTATGTTTGTGGATTGGGAATAAAAGAGGCTGTATGTGCCAGTACAGTCAGTTCCTGTTTTAACCCTCAAAGTGAAGTGTCATCTCATTATTGGGGGAAGGATTTATTGTATGCTGTTCCCGTTTGACTGCTAGGAGAGTAAACCTATTCGTATGTTTCCTATTCAACTGTCTACAGCATTCATATGCTTGGGAGAATTTATTTGTTTCTCCGGTTCAGTGATTGTGGTGTCTGCCAGAGTGCTTGGAGTCCTCAGGAAGCGCTAGGAGCATCCTTCAACGGAGGTACCCAGTCGGGGTGCCAGGCGATCCGTTCCACCTAGGATTGCAGGAGCAAGAACTAATGAAAGAAGAAGAGTAGTATGAGCACAAGACAAATTTATAGTGTAGAAAGTCTGATAAGGTGTGAGACATCCTCCAGCAGCATTCAGCAGAACGGGAGCATCTCTGCAGGTAGTGGGTTGACTTGGTGTGCCATGGTTGGGGGTGTGCCCTCCTTATGGAGCGAGCTTGGAGTGGGGCTGCAGCGTCAAGGGCAGAGGTGAAGGTAGCATTGTATGAGGAGATAGCCAGAGAGGGACAGGAGAAGGTAGGGATGGATGATAGTTTGGAATGGAGATCAGCTGAGTTACTGGAGGTCAAGAGAATTCAGATTCCTCCTGAGGGGGGTTAGGTTGAGGTTATTGGGTGTGGGGGAACTCAAGAACAAACTATAGCAAGTGGTGGTCTGGAAAATGGAGTATTTGGAGCTGATAGTAGCACCGTTGACTTGGAGAGAGACAGACACAGGAGTAACAACACTTGAGGGAGGAAAGACCAGAATTTCAATAAAAACAAAACAAAAAACATCTTCAAAGTTGTGGGCATGTTCTGTAAATTAAATGATGCAATCCATTGTTAATTCCAGGGTGTGAGGCAACAAAACACGAAAAATGCCAAGTGCAAGGCACTGTAACTTGGGCCAGACACAGGAGAGATCTTTCCGGTAATGGCATTTTTTTTTTTAGGGATGTGGGCATGGGAACCCTGTTTTTGTTATAAAAATTTGATTTGGTGCCAAAGTGTCTGGCCACTAATTAAATTATCTGATCAGGCACAGACCCCCTAGGCACCAGGCATTGTGTAACATTGTTTCCCTGGTGGCCCCCTGTTTAGGACCCATGTGTAAAGGAGTAGCAATTGTCCCAATAAGCCAGTTCTTCTTCACACGTTAAAGAATCTGGGCTAATGTTTGGGTTGAACAGTAATATTGGCTACAATTTCTGAGCTATATTCACCCGAGCTATAATCACAACAGGGGGAAAAGGCACCAGTTTACATAGTTACACTATATTCATGCACACAAACACACCAAATTACAACTATGCACAAAACAACTCTATTATGCTCCAGGTGTGCCATAGCAAGTGCCATGACTATAGGAGAAGATGGACCAGCTTGTAGAAAATGTCCTTTGTTTCGAATAGGGGAGCAGGAGAGCCGGGTACTTTGAGCACAAGCTGGTCCTTGCTTCCTTCATAATGTTTTCAGTGTTTACAGGAATGTCATGTATAAAATCAGATCCTATCTTCTCTTGCCTGCAGAAAACTCAGCTCGGGAGCTTTGGTTACAGTAGACCCTGCTCCCCAAGGCAGATAATCGGTTGCAACATTGAGTCAGTGGGAGTCTAGCAGATGAAATGGCTGCACTAACTAGTGGCTATGGAGCTTCTCGACTAGCGCTTCTGGCCCAGACAGGTGCAACCCACAAGGAAATTTCCCGCTGGGCCAAGCAAATGCCTTACTCGCCAAACACTAAAGTCAGTGCTTCTCTATGAGAATCAGTGCTGTGCATTGACCCTGTTGACGAATAATTCTCTTATTAGTATTGTGTGGGAGCACAAGTGGTGAGGCGACCCTCTTGTCCCTTGAGTACAGCAAACGCCTATACTGAAAATATTTAGCAACACTCCATCGTTATGAATAGATTTATTTAGAACACAGGCGTGTTTTCTTTTAAATCCACTCCATTTCCCGAAACCTTCCATTTTTAATTGATTTGAGGTTTTGATGCAACTCCATGTGAGTTTAAATATTCACCGACTATTAAAAAAACAAAAGTAACTCTTAACATAGTAATATGGTTGGTATAGAAGGGAGCTTCAGATATGACCCATGGGGGCTAAAATAAAGGTCTCCATGATATTCCAAGTTTTATATGACAGGGTTAAGGTTTGCCTATTAGTAGACCGTGAAATATTTACTTTAATGTGTAATCTGCCAGTGGTGAGTGGGTGATCACGCTGTCTTTGCCAGCAGTGACATATACAGGTATAGACATCTCTCCTAAAAAGATGCCAGTTCTCTGACAATCAGCGACACAGTGGAAATGCTAGTGCTGCCACCTAGTGTTGAAATTGAGCAGAAAATAACGAGAGCCCGAGGAAAAGACTCTTGCACTGTAATTATCTCCATAAGACATTAAAATATAACTATAGCCCGTGGTGTGCTTTTAACATTTTTCAGGGGCTTAAAAAGGTCTTTAGCACTGAAGCATAAGATTGACATTTTAACAAATGCACTCTGAATATCAAACACACCTCTCTCGATCTTTTATTATTCGATACAATATTCATAGACCTGAATGTACTCATATCAAATTCAGCAAAAATGTACAAAATATCTACACGTTATGAACATGTTCAAAATTATAAGTCACAAAACAAAAGCAATAGGCAGTTTAGGCAGAATATATACACATGTACAAGAGGGAGGCACTTTGTGAAATTGTGAGGGAGTTTTAAATGTCCCCAATTTTTAGCTCAGTTTGATTGCGTTTCACTCCCACACCACCACAGCTGCAGAGAATTTTCTCCCATGCTGCCATGTGGAGACCTCTCTTCCTCCCGGGATTCGTCGCCGCTGTCATTTAATTCCGGAAACTTTCTTTGCCCTGACGCAGTCGCCAAAAGTGGGTAAGAGGGGTGCAAGCTACAGAAACAAACAAAATTCTAGTTACCATAAAGGATTAATAATAAATCACATCAATGTATATTATCAAGAAGAATCTAGGTAGATATTTCTAGTTTTCAAGAATAACCACCTACATGAATCTACATTTTATCAAAACAGGAATCTGAGATTCTAACATAACTGGTAAAACAACATGAGCAATTAGACCAGCTGCAACATTTTAACCCATCCAGAAGGGCCTCAATTGACCTTTACAGAATTTATCATGAGCGCAGTTCCCTCTAGAATAAAATGTAACAATGATAAGGAGTAACATACAAGGATGTGGTCTAGGGAACAAACCGAAACACACTGTAATAGCTCATGTTAAAAATAATTTTAAAAAAGTCTAGAACACTGAAATTAGAAGAATAGGGACCACACTCGTGTGTTCTCACCAGCCCTGGTTGGTGCTCACTCAAACCAGAGTTGTGCATACAATGTTTTGTTTCCTGCAGCATTTATTGGGACAAACAACGTTTTGGTCTCATAATGAAGCCTTGACAAAAACCTTATAAAAGCTGCAGGAAGCAAGCAATTGATATTGTAGAACTCAAATCACTTTCATTAAGTCTTTTCAGATTATAGTTGAAGGGTGACTCCCATATAACTGGTTCCGAAATGGACTTGGATGCGGTAGACCCTGCTTCCCCCAAGTAGCTAGCATCACCTGCTCTTTGTCCCTTTAAATCTCTCTGTTGCTATCGTTTTGTTTCCAAGCACTTTAACTTTCTGCTTTCCCATTATCTTAAGCTTATAATTAGATGTGTATGTCACATTTTATTTTATTGTTATGCTGTACATATTTGGATTAGATAATAAAAAGTAAGAGACAATAAAAAATATCCCTGTTAAATGTAGCAATTAGATTTTGCTGCCCCCCCCCCCCACCCCGAATATTCAGCCTCACCTGATTCCATTGACACAGTCATTCTGGGCCTGGAACTGTAACAGAGGAAGGATGGAGGTGTCTTCAGATGGTGACATCGTGTCCCAGACTGACACCAGGCCCTGTGTATCACCACTCAGGAGGTACCGTCCAGATCTGGGGAAAAAGTCACATGGTGATTACGGAGTGTAAAAACCAGAAACAAGAATGGAACTAGAGAGATCAAAACACTTACATCTCCATGTCAAAGTACATCCTTTGATTGGTGGAGACATTTCGTCTCAACGAGGATAAGACCTTTCCAGGGTAGCGGATATCCCAACACAAGATCTCAGGGTCCTGAAGGAT